CATCAGAAGAGTGAAGTTCTAAAACAGCCTCCCACGGGAAGCAGAGGGAGCAAAAAACCTTACTGGCTTCAAGACTGGGCTGGGTAAGTTTATGCAGGGGACAGTAAGATGGCGCTGCCTATGATAGCATATGGCTCATTGGTAACTCTAGTAGAAAAAAACCCCAACTGCTGGAGACAGGACAGTGGACAGGGAGGGCTCTGAGTTGCTAGAGAAAAATGTCTTTAAACGGTTGTGGGTGGGTCTTGCCTACATATTCCTGGTCTAACAGATCACCATATTTGTGGCTGATACAGATATTCTCTCCAGGTGAGACTGGTAGAGACCCTGCGGGGCTTTCACCTACCTTTGCAGCCTGGTCACTGGTCACTTTCAGGTTAAAACTAGTGCAAATGATGAATTCTCTCTAACCTGTAAAACTCAGACAGGCTAGACCTACACTACGGGATAAGTTCAAATGAAGATACACAACTCCATCATGTTAGTTACGTAGCTGGAGTCGAAATATCTTAAATCACATTTTGGCGATCCGTTAGACCAGGAATACGTGGGCAAGACCTGCCCACGACTCTCCCTTCAACTTCCCTTATTGCTCATAGGAGCAGGACTACTGGCATTGACTACAGCACCCTCTCAATTTGAATTAGTGTGTTTTTACTAGACCCGCTCATTCGAACCCTGGAAGATCGACTGCAGCAGCTTCGATCGTTTCTGTAGTGTAGACAAACCCACAGAGATTAGGGATCTATTTCAGGAATGGGTGAGGTTCAGTGGACTGCAATGTGCAGTAGGTCACACTAAGCAATCATGATGGTCCCTTCTGACTTTAAAAATCTATGAGTCTATGTGCACACCAGCACAGGCAGCTGCAATTCTGGTATTTCCTAACTTTGGCATTCTTGACTTTCTGACCTTAAGAATAATGTTCTTTTAATGTTTTTGTGTTAAATCAACTTCCTAGGTTTTAAAAACAGCAAAATGAAAATATGGAAATTTCATCATGAGGCATCACATTGACAGCAACATGGTTCATTTTGCATGGGTGAAATGTTTAGATCCACAGCACAGATGTCTGCCCCTCGAGCTAAATGACTAAGTAATAGCAGTAGCAGGTTGTCATCCTATATGTGGACAAGCATAAGAGGGGTATGGACACTGTTAGTGAGAGCCATCCCATTCAAAGGACAGAGGGGGCAACCACCCCAGGCCCTGTGCTTTGGAGGGTTCCCACAGTTAAGGGGGACAGGAGGTACAGGGCAGCCTGGGGAGATTAGCAGGGAATCTGGCCCTAGCCTGCTGTGCTTTGCCCCACTAGCTCCCAGCATTACTCGGGAGCAGGAGGCAGAATCTGGAAAGGGGTGGGGAGGCAAAGAGGGCTTGCTGGAAGGGGTGGAATGGGGGTGGGGAGGGAATGGAGCAGGGTGGGAATAGGTGAGGCAAGGTAAAGAGGGGGGCATCCTGGGCCCCACACCTCCTAGAGTCAGCCCTGCTCTTGAGTGAGTTTCACTGATTGTTGTTGACAGCTAAAGAATAGTGACAATCTTGGGTTCCATTCCAAGCTTTCAATGGGAGTGTACGCTACTGGGCACTGACTTGTCTGACCACTTTCTGTAAGCTTTGCCATTGCTGCCCCATCTCCGCCAGCTGTGTCCGTCCCAGTCTTTTCTCGTCCCTGTCCATCCTTGTCTCATTTTAGCTGCCTATTCGGTCCCAATCTCACTCCGGAGACTTCTCATCTGAATTCTATCTCCTTGCTTAGCCAATCATAGAACCATAGAGCTGGAAGAGACCTCAGAAGGTCATCAAGTCCAGCCCCTTGCTCTAGGCAGGACCAATCCCAACTAAATCAACCCAGCCAGGGCTTTCTCAAGCCGAGACTTAAACACCTCTAGGGATGGAGACTCCACTACTTCCCTAGGTAACCCGTTCCAGTGCTTCACCACTCTCCTAGTGAAATAGTTTTTCCTAATATCCAACTTGGACCTCTCCCACCGCAACTTGAGACCATTGCTCCTTGTTCTGCCATCTGTCACCACTGAGAAGAGCCTTTCCCCATCCTCTTTGGAAGCTCCCTTCAGGAAGTTGAAGGCTGCTATCAAATCTCCCCTCACTCTTCGCTTCTGCAGACTAAACAGACCCAACTCCCTCAGCCTCTCCTCATAGGTCATATGCTCCAGCCCCCTAATCATTTTGGTTGCCCTTCACTGGACCCTCGCCAATGCGTCCACATCCTTTTTGTAGTGGGGGGACCAGAACTGGACACAACGATCCAGATGTGGCCTCACCAGAGCCAAATAAAGGGGAATAATGACATCTCTGGATCTGCTGGCAATGCTCCTCTTAATGCAACCTAATATGCCATTAGCCTTCTTGGCTACAAGAGCACACTTTTGACTCATCTCCAGCTTCTCATCCACTGTAACTCCCAGGTCCTTTTCTGCAGAACTACAACTTAGCTGGTTGGTCCCCAGCCTGTAACAATGCTTGGGATTCTTCCGTCCCAAGTGCAGGACTCTGCCCTTGTCCTTTTGAACAATGTCCTTGGTGTCCTCTTTACATCACTCTGGACCCTATCTCTGCCCTTGAGTGTATCTACCTCTCCCTCTAGCTTAGTGTCATCTGCAAACTTTCTGAGGGTGCAATCCATTCCCTCATCCAGGTCATTAATAAAGATATGGAACAAAACCGGTCCAAGAACTGAACCTTGGGGCACTCCACTAGAAACCGACTGCCATCCTGACATTGAGCCGTTGATCACAACCCACTGGGCCCGGCCTTCTAGCCAGCTTTCTAGCCATCTTACCGTCCATTTATCCAATCCATATTCCCTTAACTTGCTGGCAAGAATATTGTGGGAGACTGTATCAAAAGCCTTGCTAAATTCAAGGTATATCACATCCACTGACTTTCCCATGTCCACAGAGCCAGAAGCTAATCAGTTTGGTTAGGCACGACTTGCCCTTTGTGAATCCATGCTGACTATTCCTAATCACTTTCTTCTCTGCCAAGTGCCTCAAAATGGATTCCTTAAGGATCCCTTCCATGATTTTTCCAGGAACCGAGGTAAGACTGACCAGCCTATAGTTCCCAGGATCGTCCTTCTTCCCTTTTTTGTAGATGGGCACTACATTTGCCTTTTTCCAATCATCAGGGATCTCTCCCGATCGCCACGACTTTTCAAAGATAATGGCCAAAGGCTCCTAAATGACATTTGCCAACTCCCTCAGTACCCTCGGAAGCATTAAGTCCGGACCCATGGATTTGTGTATGTTTCCCCATTTGGCTCACTGCCAGATCCCCAATTTCCCATTTATCCCTGTTTCTCCCTCTCCTCATGTTCAGTCCCTGTTGTCTCCCAATCAGCCTCAATTCTCCCTCTGGGTTCCCATCTGATCAGTCACTCCTGTGCCTTTTCACTTGCTCCCAGTCTTCATCTCCCTTCCCAGACTCCTCACCCAATTGCAGTCATCCCACACATACTCTCACTGGCTCGTTATCGCAGCCTTTTCACCAGGCTAGTTGCAGTTCTCCATCTCCCACTCCTTGTCAATTGTTTCCTCTGCCCCTGACCACTATTCCCTTCTATTGGTTTAGTCCCAGTCTCCTTGACTAATTCCAATCTCCCTCCCAGCTCCTCATATGAGCTCACTCTTTTCCCCTCATTTAACTGGTTCCCAATCCTCCATCCTCCTTCTCTTTTTCCTCAATGGTTCCCAGTCCTAGTCTCCTCACTCTTCCTAGCTTAGGCTCCTTGCCCAACTAGCCTCAGTTTCCGATTGCACCCAACCCTTTTTGAGACCCAGCTGGCCCTCTCCCTGGCTTGGGACAAGGAGCGGCAGAGGTGGACACTGGGACTGACAGGTGAGGAAGAGGGAAACTGGGACTAATGTTAGGTTTGGGGAAGACTGGACTGGGAAGGAGATGGACTGGAAGCTGGGGGATAGGGAATGAGGATGGTATAGCGAGAACTAGTTTGAACAAGGAGTTGGTGGTGGGATTAAGAGAGGCTACTAGGCAATGAGAGACAGGGAACAAGGAACTTGGGGAGGAAAAACTGGGAGTGGCTGGACAAGCAGATGTGCACTGGGGATTTTATGGGTAAGGAGACTGGGATTGGAAGCTAGGAGAGGGTTAGAGACACAGATAGGTTAGATGGGAATGGTGGGAGGAGGGATGAACATAAGAATCTGTATCCACTAGACACTCTCCCCTCGAAGACTGGACTGGAACCCAAAACTGTTGAGTCTGTTCATTGTTCTGCTGTAAACAAGTATCTGTGAAACTCACTGGCAAAGTATGAGCCCTATCCTCTTCTAGTGCTGGTCCACAGAGTATGTCACTTAGCCTAAATGGGAGAGGTTTCTGTGGTGGGAATAAAAATTCCAACCTTGCTGATGAACAATGTGGGTGTCAATAATATTATGGTGGGATTTGTTTTTTCCCAGCTAGCATTTTGAAAATTTGGGAAACTACACACATATAACTATGTTTAAAAACACTGTAAGTGTTGAAAGTCAAACACTGCAAAAATGAGGAAATATAAAAATTAAGGCAGAAGGCCTCTCGAAAAACGTGTATGTGACCATGTAATTAAAGAATGCATTGTAATACATATGCACAATGAGGCCAAATTAAGGTAGCTCTCACAAACAACCTTAATTTAGGCATTTGCCATTGTTTGAGTACTTGCTTTTGACACTTTTATAATATTCTTACTATGCTTTTTTTGCTCTGTAATATATACAATATACAACAGCTCTGAACTAATATTAACAGAAATATAAAAAATATATTTTCAAATATATGATTCCCATAAAGTTGAATCCTCTATAAATAAAAATGTGAACATTTGGTTGACTGTGCATTGATTGTTTCCCTAGAGAGATGTCCAATTCTGCTTGGACAACACAAACACCTCAATATATGCATTTTTTTAAAAATTAACTTTAAAGAATGGTTCTTGTTTTGGCATAATCCCCACCCCAGAGAAACAAACTTACATCATGCAAGGAGTCCATAAATTTTGTAAGTTGATAGAAACGTTGTGAACTGGCCACAACTCCTTTCTGACGCAAACCAACTGCCTTGACCAGTTCTCTAATATAGCTTGCTCTCATCTCATCAAACTGGCTTTGACTTCTCAGACCTTCCAAAGGAACTAAAGAGAAAGCAATACTCTTGATCGTTGCATTATATTATGAAGACAACCAAGAAAGAATTTATATGGTAATTTTACACTGTACTGTTTGGTTAATCATTTTGTCTTGGCCTGTGATCTTCCAGTTAGTCACTGAAGAGCAGAAATGGTAATTTGACATAGCCATTTGAATACACATGTCCTATTCAACCAGTTATGCTGGTTTCAGATATGCTGGCATGGGATCACTGCTATGGAAAATCTGCCAGAGGTGGTGGTGAATGTGATACCATATGACTGAAATCTTACCTCTGTGACAGTCATCTGTGAGTATGTGGGCAGGGAGCAGAGGCAAGGCAAAGAAGAGAGGCAATGATTTAGCATATCTGAAGTGGTATTTCATGAAGGTATAATACACAAATCTTATTCAGTATGTTCCAGGAGACAAATACACAAAATAGAAAATGAGCAAAAATTCCCAATAGGGCAATTGTTTTTACCCTCCCACCTTCCTAACATGCAATAAAAATTATAAGCCAAAACATCAGCTACTTCTGAGTTTTGGAAGTACAGTTTTTGAAAGAGCTGTTGCATGTAGACATGTTTTCTTTGACTGTAAACAAGTATATAATCACTGTGTCATACTGAAAGAAAATAAATAGTTGCATATTATCAAAACGTAAAAAGAAGCCAAATTCATCCCTTATAAAACTCCATTAGAGCAACTGGAGATACACTAGAGATGAATTTTGCCCAATGGTTGACTCTAGCTGAATTTGTGTTTCTCAGATGGCTATTTTTAAAAAAAAAAAATTCAACACTGATATGTCAGCATTTAATCTTTGATGGTCACACCATAAAGGTGTCAATGGAATGTGGTGGGGGAGAGCACACATGGGATAGATGTCTCAGTCTAGATCAGTGTTCCCTGTAAGCTACGTCATTGTGCGACCACTGAGGAGAGTTTCAAATGCTACCCAGCTGATGAGCAGAGCACCCATAGTTAGATCTTTTGCCTCAGTGCACATACATTTATTCCACACATGGATGGAAAAAATCTGCAAATGGCTGGAAAAGATTAGAGGGAACATTGGTCTAGATGACCCAATAGGTCTTTTTTGTCTCTTAATTCTATGCAGCTATTGTTTAACTGGACAGACTTTTCAGCAAAACTGTGTTAACAGGGCAGCAATATTCTCTGTACAAGACAAAAAACGCTTCTAAAATGGATATTTAAATTTTGCATAAAAATACAAAATATAAAGTTGTAGGAAGATAACTATTATCAAGAAGCTGTTGTTTTCACTCATGTAACTCTTTCTGGCAATACTAATATGGATGTCCTCTGAATTCTTAACTTCTATTAAAATATACAGTATTCTAGTGCTAAGAAATTATTTATTTAATCTATGTTTATACATGAGTTAGTCAAGTTGAACACAAATATCACATGCTGAGTTTAGGAGTCACAAGCAAAGCACATGATGGAATAAGCTTTCAATTAACATTTTTCTTGACACTTGGAGAAACCAAGCAATTTGTGACAGGAGCCTATTCTGTCACCTCAACTGTTCAGTGTAGGTGTACTGCTCCTGGGGAATCAAGGCTCAGGAATACTTTCAGTAAGAGATCTGAAGATAGTTTTTGTTCTATGTTAGCAGCTCAGTCCTTTTCATTACTGGATTAGGGAATTCATTACTGGCAACTATGGTCAGCTACAGGTTAATTTCTTAGTACAGATAGGCAAAAAAATCATCCAGACCCCCACCTACCTGGAAAGTGGAAGACCAATGAACAAACTGGAACTTGGAAGGGTGCTATGGAGCTGGGATCAGATTAGAGGTGGTGGGCCAAATTTAGTTCTGGAACAGACAGCTGAAGTCAATGGAGTTGCCTCAACTTACACCTGGGCTAAACTTGCCCATCTTTGTCCAGGAAAAAATACCTGAATAACCTTTAATATTAGTAACCTGACATGGTATGTCAGCCATGTCCATTCTTCCCTGCTTCAATGAGCAAAACATTCACGGAAGCAGGGTGTGGCCCCTACGTCAACAGACTGGACATTTTATTAAACGATTGTTTTTTGTATTTGTTATTTAGTGATAAATTCCCTAGCTTTGCATGAGGCTTTATCTGTGTATTGCTATTAAAGTAATTCAGTGTTGTATGGCTGAAACCTGGCACAATTGTTTTGAAAATGTACAGCTTAATTGTGGCTCTCTGCCAACTTATATTCACATGTATATCATTGATTTTATTCCCTGTAACAAAAATAAATAGTATTTTAGTGTTTTGAATGCTGAAATATTTTTGCTTAAAGGGACTTTTCCTCTTTTTCAAGGCATACAGCCTACAATGTTCATTATAAGCAACACTGGGGGAAACTCTGCAACATTATACTGTTTTAATATTTGAGGTACATAACAAACAATGCTATAAAGACAAAAACATCAATTTTCTACTTACTTGTACTGAGCAGTAATAATGATTTCATACAGAGGAACTCCTCTTGACTAACTTGAAGTTTGACAAGTTCCTGTGGGATCTGCCACATGGATAGGCACAATGAATAAAACGATGATTCTTTCATCCTCTGTCTTACACCCCAAAAAGGTAAAGATAAAAAAGACTCAGACACTACATTTTTGCAGTCCATGCCTTGCTGTTTCATTAATTACTATATTTTTGAATTTAAGATGAGAACTATGTGAAGTAAAACAATTTTCTGAAATTTTTGTGTATCCATTTGATTTCACATAAATCATAACTAGACATTTGATTGGAATGCTAAAGGTAAATTAATTGCCCTCAGGTGGTGTCTCAGTATACACAGGCATTTTAGAGACTGAGAAGACATAAATGACAGGTGAATAAAAAACATGATTTTTTTTAAAGAAACCCAACAATTAAAAAAAATTTTTTTTTCAATTTAAATGTTGCTAGTTCTTTACTTTCTTCCCATTTATAATCTTATACTGGCAGAGTAGATGTTTTGCAAGTGCTTCTTTAATTTGCTTTCTAATTGTTAGTGGAATTTCATATTTTACATATAGATTTTTTCTAAGAACTTACACATTAAATAGTTAGGTATGATATAGGAGGCTCATTAATATCTGTACTGTGAAAACAACAGAAAATAACGAGCATAAAACTAATGAAGAGACTGTGCTATACTTGTAACCAGGCAATTTGATGTCAATGGAACTTACGTTCCTAAGTCACTTAGGGCCAAATCTTCAAAAGTATTTAAGATCCCAACTTCTGTTGATTTCAACAGAAATTAATAACCTAACACTTTTGATAATTAACAGTGAAGCATAGTTTTAAAGTGATGAAAATTATTTTACAAGGAGAATTTTTTTTTAATAAATGTTAGAGTCTGATGATTCTGTGAAAAGTGCCATTAAAGTCAATGAGACTAATCATGTCAGTAAATTTAAATAACTGCAGAAATGGTTGCGGGAACAGGGTCTTCGTTGTCAATATTTGGGGGGTAGGAGTTTACTTACAGGAGTTTACAAAAATATAGTTAAGATATACATTTTAAGCCCATTATTTGTTAGCTCTTTATACACTGAATTTAAAGTTCAGATTATTTCTACAAAGCCTCAATTTAATTTAAATCAGTGAGTTAAAAAAATCAGGGGTGTAATTTTGCTTCTACTGAAGTCAACAAGATTTTTAATACTGACTTCAATGGAGACACGATTTCCACCCCGGTGATTTAAATTATTATTCCAGTCTGGCTGAATGTACTATCATCAACAAAATATATTTGGTATGACCAAAAGCTCTTTCTCTCAATGAACAGAGATCACTATTTTATTGTTTTAAGTGGATTTTAAGACCCAATTCAATTTCTCTTGTTGAAAACGCTATACGTAACTATTAGGACATTGGGGCAGGGGACTGGAACCTGGGTTTCCCACCTGGTAGGTGAATGCCCTAATCTCTGGGAGAAAATTGTAAGTGGGGTGGGGGTCTCCACCTTGCCTTCTGGCGTGTTTTTCAAGAAAAGGCTTAGGCACCTAATTTAGGAGCAGGTCTGATGACTAAAAATCCAAAGTAGAGCTATGCAGTTCCCTACAATCTGGGCTTGCATATCGAAATCCCTTTGAGGTGCAAAGCCATGATCCTTTCCTTGATATCTCCTACTGGCTAGCTTAGGCGACTCCCCATTAAGTGAGATGACTTTTGTGGGACCCATTTATAGACACTTAATTCATCCCATTCCTTATATAGAGAGCATAGGGTGCCTAATTTGGAACAGTGGATTCCACTGGATGACAAGGCACCAATGGAAGGATGATTACAACTCCTAAGTCCCTTTATGGATCTCACCCTTAGCCATATTTGAAGGTATCAGGTGTAGATAAATACCTACAGTGATTTTAAAAACAACCTGTGAATTCATCTGGAAATTAACAGCTCTTTACTCATTTGCTAGTTTGAGGCTGGTGCTGCTATATGCAGATATAGCAGGCATATCCAGCTGCACTTGGACTTAATTCTGGATAAATCAAGTCTAAGTGGCAAGTCAGTTCTAAAATAATTATTAAATAATGGGATAGAAAAAGACCAGAGATAGCTGTTAATTTAATACAAATTATTTTCAGAGTATTTTCCTGAATACTTAACCTCTCTGATGTATTTTATTGTACCAATGACTCAGCTTTTGTTTTCTAATGCCCAGTGTTTAATATAAACATACGAAGTTGAAATCATGGTTCCACTGAAATCAATTAGAATGTTGCCACTGACTTCCATGGGGTGCCCTGGGAGCCCAATGTATGACCCTTGTGACGGTGTGGCATTCCACTGATTTCAAGAGTACTCCACAAGGACAAGAGGATCTGTGAATTGAGATCCTGAAGTAGAATCAGAGATCTAGCCCTTACTTGTGTATTAAATTGAATGATAATTTAATTTTCATCGTGCCTTGTATAGGTTTTGGCAAACCTGTCTTTCCAAGGATAAATTATAAAAGGAGAAGGGGAAAAGTATATATGATTGCCCGTGTATCGTGCTACAAGGATTTGGGATTAACCCTTCACTCTGAACTTTACATTGTCACTAATGTGGTGATAACATAATTCTTTTTTTAAATGTTCCATCAGATAAACAAAACCACCACCAAAACTCTTTTGCTATGACTCTACACATGACAATGTCAATGGAATACTTTGGACTCTTATGCAATCCTTCTCAGGAAACTGATCTAAAGTACTACCAGAGCATTTTCCTTTTATCTTAATTTTACACTATTTTATGAAACAACAAAGTAGAATCATTGGGCAAAATCCTGGCTCCAGTCAAGTCACTAACAAAATTTCCATTGACGTCAGCGGGGACATGATTTAGGGTTAGTAAATAGCAGTAATTGTCTACTTACTCATTTAGTATCAGATCAGGTGCAAAGTATAGCATCTGACCACTGACATGCTTATATGACCTCCATCCCATTGCAAACACCATTAGACTCATCCAAGAATACTGGATAAGGGTTATCTGATCATCGATATGTAAATTCCGGAATCCTGAAAATCATATGAAGAATTAAAAGAACTCAAATACTTCTCTATAAAACATTTTTCAAAATAAGAAATTTATATTTGTAACTTCTTCTTGATGTTGTATCAGACAAACTATCCATTATTTTTAGATCAAATTAAATATGTAGTATTTCAGTGTCTTATCTATTCAGTCTCCTTTCATACTTTGTGCATGTTTAAAATAAGATCTGAGTAGTAACATCATCAAACAGAATCCTATGAAACATCCACTGAAAATTACATTACTATTACAAAAATTGGCATTAATTTTAATTGTTGAACCTCTCTTGATCACTGAGTAGAACTTTGTATTTTTCTTTAAAAATCCTGGATCAACTAATTAAATAGCAAACATCTACATTTCTAATATTGTAACAACTTCCAGTAGGTGGTAGCGTTGACTTGACAATTCAAATGTATCTAACTTTATTGGATAATTTAGCAATTTTTTACATCATTAGAGAGTAATCAACAGGATTACTTTTCTTTTGAAATGACCCCCCCCCCCCCCCCCCCCCCCCCCACCC